TTAGAACGATTACAATAAGTGTAAACTGCAGACGAAAGTAGAGAAATTGACCAGATATAGAATAGGAGAAGCGAACAGAATGAATGAACAAGTTGTACGAAGAGGGAGACGAGGAAAAAAAATCAAACCGTCAAAGAAGTAAACTTCACAATAACTCCCCAATTTAAAGCATCAGACTCTCATCCCAGATTATTGAAAATGTTCCCAATCAATGGCAACTCACAAAGTGACTTCGTTTTTTAGTATAATTTTTAAAATGTGCTTCAATTATTAAGCGAAACGTCAAAAGGGACTGCGGTTACTTTTTCTATAACCTATCTACCTTCAAAAAAGGAATATAATCGAGTGTAAAACACGTATAATTAAAACGGAAAATATGGCATAGAATATGGAACTAACTTCCTGTATTGAGAGAAAGCTACTGGAAAAATTATTGGAATAGTACGGTAAAATGAATTATTTTCATCTCTCATGACTTTCACTGCTTTTTCTTATTGTTTGAAAAATTGTGCAGAGGCGATTATGAAAAACGCAGTAAAAGTAGAGAAACACAAATAAAAACTTACTCGCTCAGCGACTCTTCCCGCCACTGTCAGTACATTTTGCGTGTTCCCTAGTGTAGGGCTTAATGCTGGGCAGTTGCCAAAATAAAGTTCAGTGAAAGGACATGTACGTAGGAAATCAAAGTCTGTTAACATTAGCCCTGTAGAATTTGAGGGGAGGCTGTCAATACTGGTGACCGAGAGAATAGTGTGTTCCAAACTACGTAATGGTTCCCAGTCAGGAGAGGCTAAGACTCGCCGTACTGCTCTATACCCGTTAAGCAGAGGAAGGGCCATGTTTCTGCGCCACCGATAAGCTGTGCTTGAAATGTAATCCCAAGTGATTACTTCTGCCACAACTTCATACCTTCAAAAAAAGAGAAAAAAAGAGTGATTATCAAATAATCGGAAAAAAATTACGAAGAGTGGGACAAAATGAGCAGCGACGAATTCCATACAGCATTTTTTTTAAGTTTTTTAAATTCTGTTTTTTTTTCATGTATAACCTATTCGGCATTTTACACCCCCCCCCCCCCCCGTTTGCGGTATCATGGGTCGTCTTCCTCTCCAACCATGTCGCATGTACACTAGGAGCGGTACGCCGTATACAGACTCTCCTGGTGACCAGAAGAAACCATGTAAAACCTTGGCCGACATGGCGTCCATCAACCAAGCATCATCGGAGAATCTTTTCCTGCCATTTCTCCTATGATTCTTGGTGTCTAGACTCCCGCTCGACAGTTTCCGCAAGATTAAAATTTCCGATGTTCCGAGCCGGACTCGAACCTGCGCCATGCGGGTTCCGCCGTCCGACCGTGCGTTTTAAACCACTGCGGCCACCGTCGTCGGCGACGTTTTTTAAATTGAATTTTTTTGTTTATCAACAATGTTATTTCTTAACTATCGATTTTTAAGAACTCTTTAGTTTTTTAAATATATTTTTACATTGAGACAGCAATAATAATCACTCCACTCATTGTATGAATAGATCTCTTGTGAAATCATCAAATATTCCCTCCATGAATGTAGTGATGACAGTGATTACATTTATGAATATATATATTCTGGTTTTTTCTTCCTTCGCGTCTTCCTCTGGCCGTTGGATTTTTCTATGGATTTCCTATACGATTCCCATAAGGATATCCTATATATAGAGATTTAAAAAATTACGACGGTCACAAGGAAAATTTCATAAGGGTCAAGCACCATACGTAAAATTTGACGAGGATTAATTATCACGAGACGTTCGATAGTAATACCCCCAAATTTGGAGGAGTATTTTCCCTCAGTTTGGTCTTCCTATGTTGAGGAAATACTTTGGACATAATATATGAAACCCCGATATAGATGAAATGAGTAAAACAAAGTTCTCTTGTCAACAATACCCCATTAGTCTAGTGGTTAGGGCATAGGATTAGTAATCGTAGGATCCCCGGTTCGATCGGTTTCGGTTTCGGTTTCGGTTTCGGTTTCGGTTTCGGTTTCGGTTTCGGTTTCGGTTTCGGTTTCGGTTTCGGTTTCGGTTTCGGTTTCGGTTTTTTTCGGCGGTAATTGTGGTAGGGACTCATTGACAGAGGTCATCTCAAGTGGAAAAAGCAAACTATTCTTTGATTTTAATTAGTTTTTATCAGCAATTATTGTTTATTCCGATTGACAGGTCATCAGGTTTGAATAAATTGGCTTGATCAAATCCGGAACCGTTAGGCCTGATCAAGACCTGATTAAAAACCGCGTTACGTGTCTGATCAGGGCTTGATTCGGTTGTCAGAGTTTCCACTCGGACGACTGAATTGCGACTAAGGCCCGACTAAACTCTGTCTTAACTCCGGCTAAACCCTCAGTTCTAACGAAATTCTATGATTAAACCCAGACAAAATTCCAACCAACCGGAAACCACAGAAACTATCTTACTCCAAATAATAAACTTAGCATATATTTGAGATTGAGAATTGGGAAAATTGGAATTTGAAAAGAATTTTAACCCGCCAAATTTCAAATTTTAATTTTCTACCAAATTAAATATATTATCCAACATGATAATACTAAACGTTTACTCACCTTGGTTGTGCAGCCAAGTTAGTGTAGACAGTTCTGACACTTATCAAACAATGTGTGATTTTATCGTACAGTTGCCCTATAAAATCTGATTGGGCCCGTAATTGGAGATTCGGTGGGTGAGAGTGTTGCTGATGAGTGGTCCGATCTGGTCTGCTTGTGTAACGAAATACACGGGTCCCCTCATTGTAGACTCCCCGAGCACCACATTGCTCAGCCTCATGTGCAGAGCAATGTACGTAGCTGACAAAATTAATGAGATCGACCAATAAGCTGATGTTCAACCGTATAAGGAATTCTTTAATAAATGAAATTTAACTCAATTTCTTTTTTCTTCTGAATGAACCGTATAGAAATTAATCGTTGCGAAGAGTAAATTAAGAGTGACAACAAAGGATAAACAAGCAAATCAAACCTCGAAATGTTATCGGAGTTATCGATTTTTTTTTTTAGCGCACTGTGTTACATTTTACGCGCGCTCAGCGTGCGCTAAATCCCACTTCCTACACACTGTGCTAAAAAATAGGGTTCAATACTCACAGGAAAAGTAATTTTAGAATCGTGGGATTATATCACTCTCCTTCGGCTCGTGCTATAAACCTCCCACGAGCCCAAAACTCCTTTCCCGCAATGGTATCGAAATTTTATGGATTTACTGAAAACTCTCGATATGATGAAACGTCATATTCAGTTTCTTAGCAAAATTATCAATCAATCAGCTATAACTATCAGCATTTTTTGTCTGTGACGATGACGAGAAAAAATAGCAGTTTAGTGGGACTATCAATTGATTGGTCAAGGTTTAGATTGTTGAATGAATCACGAATGAGTAAATAAATTCATGGAATAAAAATGGAAAATTAAAAAAGGTCGTATAAAGAGGGATTTTTTTTTTCAATTGATTACGTTGAACAGAAAATATCAATGTTCCTGGTATTCATCATAAAAATATGGATAATTTGTAATCAATTCAAATAACCAAAGCCATCAAATTGCGTGAACACATTTTCATATACAGAAAATTTTTCTTTGATTCGGTATATTTTCATGGACCGGCGATTTATTACCACCTGAAAAGCAAAAATGATTATACACTATGAGCCCGATGTCCACTAAAGTCATATCTGATAACAGAACTTCAAATACACGGAGAGAAATTTTTCAGTAATAATTACTGTTCCCTTTGGTAATCTTGTAGCATTTTCGATGTTCGGGAAAAATTATCCAACCGCATTGTAAAATTTACCATCTTTAACAAAAGTTATACACGCGTTTAAAGTACGTTCTAAATTATGTTATAAATTATGCATAAATTTAGTGAGGGGTAAACAAATTTTACTGAGAAATTGGCAATTTTTCACGGAAAACTAGATAACCTTCATTATGCAGTCAACAAAAATTATATGCACATCTACAAAACTTTTATTAAGGTTGTTGTCGCGCGACAATCTCTGTAAAAAGTTTATGCGCGGTAAAACGGCCCAGGTTAAAGTAGAATCTTTCGACAGTATATCCATACATGTTGTGTATGGATATGTCCATACACAATGCAATCAATCAAGTGAGACTATAGCTGCAGCAAAAATATAACTATATATTTTCCATTGGAACTATTCTTAATTATGTAAATTTATGAAATTTTTATAATTATTCCTCAAAAACAAAACGGTCAATCGATTTAAATTTTTTGGCTGTATTCAATGATGCGGTATCTACCCTAAATAATTTTTATTCGAAAAACTATCGAGCCGTAGATTTTCAAATAATTCTAATCCGTGACGCCATTTAAACATGTGAAACGTTACTTCAAAAATTTCAATCTCAAGTTCAAAACGAACAATCTCAAACAGAAAGTGATCATTTTGCAGCTACTTTTTTGAACTATTCGCCATAAAAATTAAAATAAAAACTGCGGTATAAATATTTTAAACGACAACAACCTTAAGGAGTCAACAAATTTTACTGAGCGGTTGAATTCTTTTTATTGTACCACTAAATAACTTTTAGTCCACAGTTAACAAATTTTACTGAAGCGGTACGGTAATTTTCCCCGAGCGGCCAAAATACTACACAATGATATACAAGATTATAACGGAACGGTAACTTCTCCTGAACATTCCTCTCCGTATTTGGTGATGTTGACTTTGAGAACGGAACCCGGTCTCAATCCATCAAGAGCTGGCGCAGTATCCGCGGGTCCCGCGCTCATAATAAATCTCATATTTGGGATAGCGCGCCCGCGCATGCATCCATCAGGACAACGTGCACAAAGTCACCCCGCCAGTCGAAATTTCTACCAGGGCAATTGATCCCTCTGTCTCCCTTTCTCCCACCTTCGGTCGGTCATACCGGGCTTATAAGCTGCGTGGCAGAAAATGTCCGTTGCTTTCCCGCCTCGAAAACACTTCCGCTCGCATGGCTACTATAAGTCGACTGTATTTTTCAGTTGCCGCGTTATTAAAAACTTATACATTAATTTTTTTTTCACGCCAAATCATCGCTTATTATTTCTATTTCTATTTTGACTAATTTTGAGGGAGCCAGAATTATTTATTTACAATTTGTTCCCAAACAGTCAATTAGATGCCAAATAAATTGGAAAGAAGCAAATTAGATGATTATTCACTGCACTGATTTTCATGTCCCATTCATATAACACGCTTCATTTCGCGTGGTATAATTTTAAGAAAAATAAAGGTCTCTCTTTTCGAAGTAACTTGATTTGCATATTAGAATGTCGAAGTTATCTGTCAGTACTTCAAATTTCAGTGGAACGATAGAACTCCCTCCTCCTCTTTTTTAGGTCTCCGTTTGAATTGCATTATTTATCGACCGGTTGAAAACCCAAACACGCAGTGGGCCGAGCTCATTTGAAAAAATATGATTGTTTCTTTGTGAGTTGTTAGCTTTTGATTCTATATTTGTAATGGAACTGATGGGAAATGAAGAAAAATCTTTAAATTATTAAAATTACTACACTTTCTCTCAAAAAAGAAGTTTCAAAAAATGAAAAATAATTTTTAAATCAACAATTACTGTCCCTTCAATAGATAAATTGAGGCCCTTTTTTCAGTCTGGTAGCGCCCTTGAGACGAATTTCTACCGATTTCTGCGCTACATAGTTACGGAAACCA